TGTGAGTGTGTGTGCACATGCGCTCATGTTGGTCATTGAGAATTTCTGGGGTTCCTATGAGATGATGACTTGTAGGTGGTACTTGGATGCTTTGGTTGGATTAGGGGTGGTACTTGGTCCAAAAAGTTTGAGAACCACTGGTCTAAACCAAAGTGTTCACACTTCGGTTTTTCAAAGTTGCAAATATTTCTTATATTATGTCATTGTAAGGCAGCTTATAATAACACTTTAACACTGCACTGCTCAGTGTCCATAACTTGCCCTTTAATATCAATATTTAAGTATGTATTCATATTAAAATTAAGGATGCTAAAGTTTTCCTTACAGGTATCTCATACCCACAACGACGAATTTAAAAATAAAATTAAATCACAGCCTAAAATGCAAAAAAAAAAAAGAAAATAAAAATGAATCTGTCTTATCTAGGGTAGAGAATTAAATGAATTTCAGAACATTTTGTTCTGAAAAACAGACCTTCAAGTAATTTTTCCCACACAATAGTGTGTGTGTGGGGAATGTTTGCTTCACAAAATAGAATTCAACATATGGTCATTGAATAATTGAGGCATTCTGTACAAAAAGTTGACAATGCTTAATGAATCCCTATTCCAGCAATCCTTCAAGGACATCAATATGAAACCTTTAACGAGTAACAGAGCAAAAACATTCATTTATACTCACCTAAGACATGAGCTGTCACGTTGTTCAAAGAACAAAACTATTTTTATCATCTAACCTGTAGAGGCTGAATTAGAACTGCATTCAGTATTTAGTAAGATTTTTACCTTTAACACACACAATATTGATCCTTTACCTCCTGTTTATCATATGTTGAGCTCTCCACAGAGGTAAGACAAGCACAATGTTTCAATTTTAAGTATGAATAGTGCTGTACATCTATATCCACTCATTTGGATAGAATAAAAAGGGGTTACTTTACCTATGAATGTCTGCTGTGCCTGTGAGTTTCCCCCAATCCTAGGGGAACATGAGTGAGGATAGCTAGATGCATTTACACCCATTTTCTTCACATCAGCTGCTGTGTCCACTCCTGCTGCTTCATTCTGCCTCACAGCACTTTCAGCTCGCCACCAAACACTTCAGGGCTGGGTCTTCAAGCACTGCTGCCAAAGAAGCCTGATCATCCATTCCTGTATAACAAAAGTCTTGTTAAATACAATTGAATTACACTAATGCATATACTTTGCAAGCAATTCTTCGAGATTTCTTCTCTGCTCTGATAAACATCTTTTGAATTCCCCTCAAGCTCTGTGGAATAGTGAGCAAAGCGTAAAGATGGATCACCACAGAAATAAAAGACCTTTTCATACCTTATTTATGGGTGAAAAACAGACTGAGAATTAATTTCATAACTAGATAAAATGTTGCCATTTTGCATGACTTGGAATGGCTAAGTCCAAACCTAAACCCCACAGAAAAGTCATGGCAGGACCTGAAAAGAGCAGTTCATGCAAGAAAACCCAGACAATTTAACTGGCTTGAAGAAGTTTGTCAAGGAGCAAAAGGCCAAAATGTCTACACAGCGATGAGCGAGATTAATCGATTACAGGAAGTGCCTGGTCACAGGTACTGCAGCTAAAGGTGATGCAACCAGTATCAGCATCTAAGGGGTTGCTAACCGTTTCACACAGTGGATGTGTAAGAAAGAAATGAAACAAGCACCAAACTTTGGTGTTATTTGTTTACTCAAGCTCCCTTTATCACTAGGACCCACAGATAATATTCAATGGCCAAAATCCGAAAAAAATCTGAAAATACTTCTTCACAAAACTGTAGAGAATGCATTGTAAAAGCCATCAACATTTCCCAGCCTTCATCACTTTCAACACCCCTCCACCATCCCAGAAACCCCTACCAGTGCAACAACCCTTTTGTTAAGACTATATCACCCATACAGATAAGTAGCAATTCTCAAATAAACCAGAAGCGATTCTCTCCATCACAGTCACAATATTAAGTTTGGTCTGTATCTTCCTTAATTAATGTTAATACACTAGGGTGCTAATTGGGTTTTGTCCTTTCCTGCATTTTATCATGCATCCAAATTGTCTGTACTTTGTGATAAAAACTGCAAAGGGCAATTCCTGCCGATGCTTAGAAACTAAGCATCTGTATTTTGTGTGTGTTCTTACATTTTCTAAGCAGGGCTGTGGTAAAAAATACTTTACGAGAATACCCGTGTATTTTGATGCTATTTTGTACAAATGCTATGGAATAGGCGCCACCATGTTCGTTTTAACACAAAGATCACTCACTACTCAAGAAGACCATTACCACAGACCACAAAGTAAATGAACTATCAAACTGTAATAAACATAAGCAATATACATCCACCCATCTCCTAACCATTTTGTTCAATACAGGGTCGCAGGAGAGCAATAGGTGCAAGGCAGGATACACCCTGGACGGTACCAAATTTGATGGGCCCATTGAAAGGCACTCAAACAGATCCACACACATTCACACCAGTTCCACTGTTTACAGAACCTAATTAAACTACCAGGATAGATAGATAATACTTTATTAATCCCGTAGGGAAATTGATGTCTTACAGCAGCCCAGCCCAAGACAAGCAAAAACAGACATCAGAATGGTTATAAAACAAAAGGCAACAAAATAAATAAAAATAAATACATAGGTGTGTGCAAAATGTGATGATGATGATGATGATCACAGTCACTGTAAAAACAATAAAATATGTGCAAAATGTGCATAGGTTTATACAGACTGATTGTCCAAACAGCAAACATGCTGTCCATAGAAGAGCAAATAAAGGGCTAACAGTCCTAGCCTAGGGCAGCGTTATACACACTGACAGCCACCGCGAGGAAAGACCTGCGGAAACATTCCCTTGAACACCGTAGCTGGAGCAGTCTATTGCTAAATGTGCTCCGCTGCCCAGTAACAGTCCCATGAAGCGAATGAGAGGCGTTGTTCATGATGGCTGTGAGCTTGGTCAGCATTCTCCTCTCAGCCACCACCTCCAGGGGGGTCAAGGCTCATCCCCAACACAGAGCCAGCCTTCTCGATGAGTTTATTGAGCCTATTTGCATCTTTTGTCAAGATGCTGCTGCCCCAGCACAGAACAGCAAAGAAGATGGCTGCCGCCACCACTGATTCATAAAAAATGTGCAGCAGTGTTCCACACACACCAAAGGACCTGAGCCTGAGTATATACAGTAATACTAAAAACATCTGCAAACCAATCTACTCAAGATAATGAAAAAGGCTTTACAACATATCTTAACACCCCTTGTCATAAATTATTGATACAGCATATTATACAGGGACACTGAGCATACACTAGTGTGTGATATCAAGGTTTGCCAGAACAATGCAGAAATGCTACTTTTGTTGAGCTCTTATCCCAGTCATGCTTAGCTCACCTTCTCAAGCTGATTTTAACTCCCTACAAACTGTCTGATGCATACTGTGAGTGAAAAGTACTTCTCAAGTTTAACATCCCTTTAAATGAAGAACTTAAGGATATCTAGGTCAAATAGCCATTGCCTAAAAAACTAGGCATGAAGGGAACTAACATGCAAACAATCTATGCCATGCCAAATTCATAAGAGGCACAGCAGGGGGGTTTCCAGTTCATTTCCTGAAGTTAGTTTCTTTTCAGAAAATCATTAAAATCCTTAAGCCTTAATTTTTAAAGGTTTTTGGAGAAGCAGAGGTGGTCACGGAGAGAAAAGCATTCTTCAGTCACAGAACACTGACTTACAAAGATACTTCTAAACACAGCCTTTCATTCTCTACCACATTTCCATTGTACAGAAGCTCAAGGACATTCTTTAGTCTTGACTTCACCTTTACAGGAAGTTCTCCGTCACTAATAAAGCAATGAAACTGTCAGCTATCAGGGGAGTCTAGCAAGAAATCCTGAATGGTACAGTGCGTCCTTTTTTTTTTGCTCACAAGTACTAATACATTTTTTTAAATAGAAAAGTGTTTTCCTCCAGAAATGCTGGATGAAGGAGAAGAACTTCAAGCACATTCTAGAATTCTGAACCCACTCCCCCTGACAAATGAATTGTTTTATCTCTATCAGTTTCAAGGTTATAACACAAATACAATTAACAAAAAATTTAAATAGAAAATGTCTTGAAGTTACAGGTTCATATGTTTCATTCACATTTTATTACTGTAAAATAACATTAAACTTCTTGACGGTTTTGAAAAGACAGCAGTGACAAATAAGGTATGTACACAGGCAATAAACAGCTACAACATTCAACTCCTAAATGAAGCAGAATGCTATTTTACTACACCACTTTTCAAGCCTTTTCTTTCCATGCTGACCATTAAGAGGACACACAACATGACAGTTTTTGATGCCTAAAAAATCATATATCTGCCAAGACAGCAGTCTTCCCATTGAATTACCATTTGTCCATGCTTTACCTAATGATACATTTAAACCTAATTGAAAAATATGTGAATCTGTGTGTCAAGCAAATGGATGTAACTGCTTCATTTAATTGCTTTTCAGATGAAAACTATACATCTAAATTAACACTGTTTCATTCCATTATATCAAAATAAAATTGGGTAAGCAACCAAAGAATACAGAGAAATTAATGTATGTCAACAATTGCTGTATAATTACCACCCTATTTAAATTAATTTTATTAATGCCCTTTTCTAGCTTTAAATGAAACTGGCCAGTTTTTCTGGAAATTTCAACTTAGAATGATTTTGTAACATAAGGAATTGTATAACCTATTTGTAAGTTTAACTGAAAACAAGAATAGGTATAGAATTACATCTGTTTTCTGTTAGCTAAAAATCACATGGGTAGTAGCAGTAATCTTTTTTGCAATACACCAGAATTTTGTTTTTTGCAATGATTTAAAGTGCTGTTTCGTGAATTGACACTGATAAAATGAACACCTGCTGTATAATACTATTCTTGGTGCACTGACTTCCATTTTATAGAAAATTGAATAAAATTGACAACAATTATTTTCTATTAAATTACATGTACCACAGTATCTTAGGTTTTTCAGAGAAGTAGTTCAGATTATGACAGGGTACAATCTATAAACCTTGAAAGAATGTCTGACTTAGCTCTACCATTGTGAGAGGACTATAATTCTATCATCAGAGGAACACCTGATTTTCAGACACACTGAAAAGGACAACTGCTTAATCCAAACAGACAGGGATGGCTCATTCTACCACTAGATACGAGAACCGTCAGTCACAATGAATGACAACTAGACTCTTGGTCTGTAAAAAGGCAGTCAAGTGGGTAGGCACTAATTGAACAAGAAAGAGAGGTTACATTAAAGATGCTGAAGCTCTTTGAGGCTTTTAACTCACTGATGTTGAAGCAAAGTACTGCCAACAATTTGTCCCTTATGACATGTAAAATGAGATTAACACAAGAAAGCATGCTTCTACACATCAGCAAGTGACTGCACATAATTTCTATGTGGATCCTTGCAAGTTATCATTAAGATATCCAGTTCATATTTTCTTCTTACTGATAAGAGGACAGGGCTTTATTTAATTGCCCCTTTTCACCATTTACTTTCTGCCTCAATACTAAAGTCAATAAGTCCTCAATCATTGCCACTATCAACTCCACTTTATATTTTATTCTCAGCACATGAAGTGCCTTCATACAAATTGTCATCAGTTCTGCTTCAGTGTTAATTTAATCAAACTGTTTTTTAGCCAACAAGTACGAAACTCGCATGAAAATAATCCACAATCATGATGACGAAGACCAAATGCTTCTGCATTTTTGCTTGAGTAAAATAAGATGAAACAATATCATCTGTTTGACTAAAAATCTTCCAAAAACAAATTTTGTCACACAACGTTCACTGTTTGTACATTTACCTTCTATCTGAAAGTCATAGGTGTATCATCCTAGAGCTGCTTCTGCATGTGGATTGCATGATGGTTTAGGGCTTCTACTGTGAAATTACTGGCAACTATCATGTTTTCCCCATCGGTCCATCTTTTCCACACCCCATATCATGAACCCTTAGTTTGTGTTAATTGATTGGTACCCAGATAAAATGGGGTTTTTATGATGCACTAATTCGATCAAGAAAACCAGAGCACCTTGATTAGAAAAAGAAAAGCTAAGAAAACCCAATACTTTCTAGTAGTA